ATTTTGATTCATGTTCTTCCACCATGTTGTCTACATTCCTCAGAGGCACTACATGAAGAGGCATGCAGCGTTTTGGCTGTCAGAGAAGGGCATTTCATTAAATAAAATACTGTGGAGGTTGGAGAGCATATTTGAAGTAATTGCCAGAAATCAAATCTGGGAATTCACAGAAAAGGTCAAAGGCTACATACTAAATTTCACAAGTCATGAGTTGAAATTTTAAGCCAAGTCTCCGTTACAGTTAACTTCTGCAACGAGGCTACGATGGGACATGATGTTCTTAAAAAGTCACAGGCCACTCCCAGATCAGTGTGATCAAATGTGATCTTGTGCTCTGTCATCTGGGTCTGGGTATCAGGTACTCCAGGGTCAATGATACTGTAGTTGGCATGGTGGTGGAGGGTGGGGGGGGGCAATATTAGCAGTGTACTAATTCCAACACTTCAGTTGGTTCAGAAGCTTCAACTAAAGAGCGATCATCCAAAAAACTTGAAAATTATTTAGTTTGTTGATCAATCATAAATCATAGCAATGTTTTTACTTGTTTGCCTTTGCATAATTTCTCTGATTTAGATATCTCTTCTTAAGTAGCTAGCACTTTTGGTATCTTCTAATTGAACACTTCACATGTAGAGTTCATATGCAATTATATCAGGTTTTCTACTTGATTCATTCCTTTAGTGAGAATCTGAATGTTAACCAGTACTTTCAGTCTTATTTATTGTCTCTTTAATCTCAATTTTGCTCAGTTTAAAAATGCTACCTTTACTTTAACCCTTTAATAGGCCCAACATTTTATTACACTCTTCTATAACCTAAGAACAGTCCATGTAGTTACTGAATAATAAGTCATACCATGTAAGTATAATAATAAGCTTTTGTAATGTACATGTAATGGGATTTTAAAGGGTTAATTTCCTACACTCTTAAAAATGAAGCTGCCAGAAAAGATTAAATGCATGAACCACTGTTTGTTTCCCTACAGAACACTTCACCAAATGGTTCTGAGATATATCACTGTGTACAACCCCATATCTAAAAAAGTTGGGACGCTGTGCAAAATGTAAATAAAAACAAAATGCAATAATGTGTCAATATATCAAATGTTGAAACTGAGAAATGTTATTGTTTATTGAAAAATATTTGCCCATTTTGAATTTGATGCCAACAACATGTTCCATAAAAGTTGGGACAGGGGCAACAAAAGGCTGGTAAAGTTGTGTAATGCTAAAAACACATGGTGGTTGATGGCAACAGATCAGTAATATGATAAATATAAAAAGATATATGATAAGTAATATGATATGTATAAAAAGAGCATCCCAGAGATGCTGAGTCTTTCAGAAGTATAGATGAGGAGGGGTTCACCACTCTGTGAAAGACTGCACAAGCAAATAGTGCAACAATTCAAAAATAACATTTTTCAACATAAAATGGTAGAACTTTTGCTTTTCATCATCTACAGTAAATAGCATCATTAAAAGAATTGAAAGAATCTGGAGAAATCTCTGTATGCAACGGATAAGGCCAAAAACAGTATTGGCTGGCTATGATCTTTGGGCCCTCAGGCAGCACTGCATTAAAAACAGACATGATTCTGTAGTGGAACACTTCTGAAAACCACTTCTGTCTGTGAAAACAGTTCATTGCTGTTTCCACAAATGCAAGTTAAAACTCTAAAATGCAAAGAAGAAACTGTACATAAACAGGATCCAGAAACGCTGCCACCTTCTCTGGGCCTGAGCTCATTTAAAATGGACTGATGGGAAGTGGAAAAGTGTCCTGTGGTCTGATGAATCAACATTTGACGTGCATATCTGTGAAGGCACCATTAATGCAGAACAATATATACATGTGTTGGCAACATATGCTGCCATCCAGACAACGTCTTTTTCAGGAAAGGCCTTGTTTATTTCAGCCAGATGATGCCAAACTGCATTCTGCATGTATTACAACAGCATTGCTCCATATTAAAAAAAGAGTCTGTGTGTTAGACTGGCCTGCCTGCAGTCCAGACCTGTCACCCACTGATATCATTTGGCGCATTATGAAATGAAAAATACGAGAAAAGAGACGCCCAATTGATGAGCAGCTGAAATCCTTGATCAAGCAAGAATGTGAAAATGTGTCTCCTCAGTTCCCAAACACTTGCAGAGTGTTGTTAAAGAAGAGGTGATGAAACACAGTGGTAAACATGCCCCCGTCCAAACATTTTTGGAACGTGTTGTTGGCTTCAAAATGGGCACATACTTTTCAAAAAACAATCACATTTTTCAGTTTCAACATTTTATATGTTGTCTTTGTTGTATTTTCCTTTAAAAATATGGTTTACATGATTTTCACGTCATTGCATCCTATTTTTTTTTACATTTTGCACAGTGTCCCAACCCCACATCTCACTCCCTGGGAGGATCTACCTTACTAAATGTTACATTACATTGTATGCTCCAACACACTTGATTCAACTAATGGAGAAGCTCTGCATTGCTGTTGCCCTCCAGGTCTAGATATTTCAAGACATTCTTACATTGTGATATTAACTTTAAAGCAGCGCATTTATACACCTCATACAGGGAATGTAATTGTGTTTGTATTTGCTGTCAAAGACTGACTGATTCATCACCTTCAGTCTTCAGTGGGATGATTGAAGAGAGCCATTTACACAGCTACAAAACCCTGATTTATGTCTTAGTTTCATCACCTGGCATTGAAATGGGCACACAACATGTCACTCATTTATCTAAATCATAGCATCAATTTAAATGATGTTTGCTTGTTTTGTCACATTGGCCACCATGTAATCTTATTTATTTATTTTATTTTGTATCTTGTATCCATGGTACATGATCTCTAAAGAATATGCTCCATGACATTGTTTAAATGACATATGTACTTTTGTACTAATCTGACTAATCTGACGATCCCTGCCCAAATATTGATCTGATTTCCTTTGAAACAAACAGTAACACTTGTCAGATATCTCCAAGAATCAGTGTGCAGAAAAGTGACCAAAGCAATGCCACTGATATTGGTCAAGAAAGAGTCAAGGTTTTCTCAAAAATGCTCGCTCTGTGCACTAATAAACACTTGTGATGCTGGTAAAATAACAGCCATTTGTTTCTGGATAGTTTTACAGAACATGTTCCAAAATGACCTGGAATTCATTATTTTGCCATTAACTTCCTTTTAAAGTGTTTTCCTTCTCCTGTAAAGGTACCTTTTTGGAGATAAAAGTTTTGTTCTGACTGCAATGATATACTGGAATAAGTTTTAGATACTGTTTTTAAGTCTAGTTTTCACTGCCCTTGTCTTCTCACTGAGACTTTATTTTTATGGTCCATGTAGTTGCTTTGTAGATACTCAGTCTGCCTTTAACTAACATACAACTAAACATTTAGTCTGTCTTTAACTAACATACAGCTGAACATTTATTACATGCAACTGAACTTGAAGTTGAGTGTAAAAAGTTCTATTAAATGTAACCCAAAGCGCAGACCTAGTCTTTACCTTACCTTCAACACAAAACTTACACCTACTCCAAAACCTAACCCTAACCATAATGTTGTTGATAATCAACTGAGCATCACCAGAGAGTTTCTTAATCATTTAAGGATGTATAGATCATCTATAGGGGACCATCAAAATAAAGTATGACCAGTTTCTCTATCTCTCTACCATCAATAAATGACTGAAAACGTTAACGACTAGGGTAAGTAAAGAACAAAATTCAAAGCCAGCACATAGCCTCCCATTCAGGGTCACTGGGGGATTTTAAAAAATAAGTGCATCAGATGACCATACTGCCTCACCAACCAGTGCTGGACCATGCAACCAAATCATAAACTTGCATTTGATTTGCTATCCTGCACTAGGGACTACATTTGACAGCTTAAAGGTTGTCTCGTAAATAATCCCCACTGCCACAGCTACAATATTTATCTGCACATATGTTCATAAGCTTAAATCAAAGAGCACCTTCACTGCATCTGTTTGTAGTGAATCCTCAGATAGTGGTGTTAAGATGAGAGGTTTATAAACACTCAGCCAACGCTTTATGAATACATTATTTAATGTTTATATATATGCTATTAAGTTTCTATGTAGGTAGCTTTTACATACAGTGTTACTGAATAACACAACATACAGGCATTTTATTCATCAGTTATTCATCAAAGTTTTACTACACACTTATATAACTTAAGAGGAGCTTAGCCATTTTGCATTGAAGTACCTGTAGTTACTAAATAATAAGCCCTAGTATGTAATAAACCTGGGATTTTAAGGGGTTAAAGATAGTAAACAAACAAAACAAAACATAGTAACTATGAAATACTACCATTCCAATAATGTACATGTGATGATGTTGATATACATTAAAACTCTACTGACAGAAGATGAGGTCGATTTTATTACTTTCAATAGTTATAGATATGATTAGGACACTAAATCAGCTCAAAATGACCTTAACCTCAACACAAAATCTCTGGCATAAGAACACAGAATTGATCACCTCTCTATTAATCTCGAAAATCATGTATTTATTAATTTGAGCCAGTGAACTGCACCTATTTTTCATTCTGCGAACAAACAATGGGGACATGACGCGCATAAAACAGTGATGACGAGTGTGATCCATGAGAGCTGTGCTTGCTAACAGCTGTCTGCACCAAATAAAAAAACTTTTCGGTTTAAGATGAATTGCTAAGCACCACTTAGTTCATAACACATGCCGCAATGCTGAGGATAAACTGACAAACAGTGCTGACAAACTTATAGCTCTTAAATATGTGCATATTAATGTAAAAATTCAGGGTCCATTCCAATTAAAGACTCTGAAAACTGCTTACTTCATATCGTGTGTTTTAGATTTACAACAGTATGTAGTTGTAGGAATATACAAGCAGTTTTTTTCCATTATAATTTCTCTGTTTTTACAGCATGCACTATGCCTGAAAATGACTCTGGTAAGGTGCTGACTTTTTCTCTTCATCCTTACTCACTTGCTTCCTGCTTTGGGTAAAGTGCTGCAGGACATTCCTTTCCAGTGGCCCATTCTCTGGGGCTTGGTCTTCTTATTAGCCTTCATTCCTGGTCAGCATGGGAATCTGAAAATCAAGATTTAGGTTCAAGAATCGAACAAACCTTACTTCAGGTCATTGTCTTGGTCATCAGTAGTTATGGCAAGAAAAGCACACTCACTACATTTGCCTGTAAGTGTAACTATATCCAGACTGTAGATACTTCTAGTGTGACTTATCACTCATCTCTCATCTAATTCATCCCTCTCTTATTCTGCCCACTCAGGCTGGGGCACTGGGGTGCTTGCATGTTTTCCCTTGTTTAGTTCCAAGGACAGCCTTGTACAGCCCCCCCACCCCCAAAAAATGCTTATAATAAAACCAACAGAAAACATATATACTATCTATTTACATATTTACCTAAATGTACTGTCCTGGAACATCACAGTCATTTGTTTCTCACAGGAACTGTGTTTGCCAGTTTGTTCTCTCTCTCCCTTCCCCTGCCCGTCCTCTCCATTTCTCTCACTTCGTACAGGAATCTTTAGTTTGGAGGGGGGGTTTGGAAGCAACAATCTGGTGGAGTCATTCAGCCTTATACTGACCCCATGTGCACTTGGCCACACTCTCTACTAAGGACAGACGGACATGGGTCAGATTACCAGGAAGTCCTGACTGAGTGATCCAAACCACAGTGGTGGCACTGCATCATGCTCCAGGCCATCCAATACAGGAATTTGCTTTGCACATTGAGGAACGAGGGGGAGAGTTACTGAGTTAAGCAAACAGCAGCTGTGCTTTTCTACTTTGAAAGATGGCCATTCAGCATGTCATTTAGTTCCCCTACTAATAATGTCTACTTCTGTAACATGTTTACTAAATTATCCATTACCTAATACTGTGGAGGTTAAAGGACTCATTCTGTCAAAAATCATCAGTTTATATAACTTACCCCAGATGCAGTCAATCTGCCAAGACATGCTTGGTGTCCAAGTTTAGTGCTACTTTAGTTTAGCTACAAAGCTAATGTTTTTAAACACTTGCAGTCAATAGTCACCTGAATCTTTTCTATAAGCACATCCCAAAAACTTCTCTTAACCAGAAAACACCATGGAAGAGTTGAAGGTAACAAAGGAAGAGGACAACCTGCAACAAGATGGATGGATACAATTAGAGGAATCATGAACCAGCTATTCAGAAGCCTGAAGACTCAAACAAAAGATCTGGAGAAACACTATACACATGGAAACAACTTAGCAGCACTTCATAATTATATTGGATGAGTAGATCTGAAATTGGATGATTAGGTCTGAAAATTTGTTTATTACAGAAGGATTTGATTGTCAAAATTGGTGCTAATGTTTTTGGCAAACAAAAATGCTGCAGTGTATTACAATAGCTGCGTTCCAAAGCTTAGGCTGCAGCAGGAAGGCTGCATTTCTCAGCCGCTATGTCATAGAAGGCCATTCCAAATTCAAGGGCCCTTGATATATAGCCTAGAAAAGCAACCTTTGTTCTGAGTGATTTCGAGGATGGAACAGATGTATCCTTCCAGGTGTTCGGTTACCCACTGTTCTCTGCACATTAACGACATGAAGGAAAAAAAACAGCACCATGAAAATGATTGAAAACGAAGCTGTTGGAACAGAGCTTGTTTTAATATGTATGTTGTTTGCATCCTTAAAATCGTCTTCATTACCTTATAATAAATGAAATAACTTATCATATTTTATTTATAAGTGCTCCATTTTCTCTCACCTGTTCCCTCACAAGTTTCGTGCCACAATTGCAAGAGGCAGGACCTTTCTGGTGACGTCACCACATAGCCTCGTTAGGGCTGTCCAATTTGTGGGGCCAATAGGCTACTAAGGTCTTTATAGAACCGGCCCTACCTTAGCTGCAGCCTAGGCTTTGGAACACAGCTAATATTCTACACACGGTTTGAATTTTAAAAAATTAGTGATACATCTACTATTTTTTTAGTGTCTAATGAAGCAAATTTTTATGTTAAAATTTTCCAAAATTTGTTACACATTTATTAGAACACCTTGCCTTAGTGAACATCACTAATATGATAAATAGAGCTACAATTTCCTAAGATTAAAAAAAAGACTAAATAACAAAAATGTTGCTGCTTTAGGACAGGAGTAAAACTCTTTAGGCCATGTTGTTTCGAAAGCTGGGAGCGCCACTGGTCCAGATCTGAGATCCTGAGAGCTCAGATCCTTTCTATGCTTTGCGAGCTATTATAGGCATTTTGTCCTAGGCTTTTTCAAGCTTACTGCCCCACTTTATCATTAGTGGCTTGCCAGTAAAAGGACAAAAAGGACTCTTACTGGTATAGTGTGATGTTCTTTTTCATTTTGTCATCTTTATTTATGTGGTATACATTAATAAAATTGAAATTAAAAGTGAAGTATTAGCACTATGGACACGAACAAGTGTTAATTATGACAGATGTATTTTCCAAGCTCACCCAGGCTGTCCAAACATCAACCCAGCCAGCTGGGATTTTGGTTAGGGAGTGGTTTTACAAGTTTAAAGTGTCAGCTCACACTCATTCCGACCAGGAGAGAAATTTTGCAAGTGCCCTTATCCTACCATTGTGTAATTTGTATGCTTTGCAAACTGTTCTAAGAAGCAGCACATCTCCAGAAAGAAGAAGGAGACAAGAAGGCCACTCACTCCCAACTGGAGGAAGGTCAGAAGGTCAGATTTTGGCATAATTCATTTTAGTGTTACTGTTCCATATTGCCTTACTGTGTATAGTTTATTATTTTGCAAAATTTAAGAGAATGATACGCTGGCAAAAAAGAGTCAAAAATTCAAAGTCAAAGTTAAAAATTCATTTTCAAAGTCAGAAAGTCAGTCTTGGATCACTGATGAATTAAAGATTTAAGTATATGGTTATTTTTACTTAAAAGGCTCATTTCAATATGCGTCATTTGTCACAAAGACTGCTTTTTTGTGTATGTGTCAGAAATGGGTCATGACTTTTTCTAGAAAAAGCAGCCTTTATGACAACTGAGTCTTGTTGGAATAAGCCTTATTATATTTCTGTAGGTTTTTATCAGTCATAAAAGGCTAATGTAATTGTGATGTTGCCTGTTAGTACATATTACCAAAAAATTCATAGTAATCAAGTAAATAATTCATAGTTGTTACTGAGCAATAAGTTATAGGATAAACCGCTGAATAAGCCTGTACTTTAAGGGGTTAATTTAAGAGTCAAGTAATTGATTTTAAATGTATTTAGCAATTATTTTTACTGAGAAATTTGTTGTACTAAGTGAAATTTTTAACATTTTCAGAACTTTGATATTGCCTCCCCCATAATACCAGTTGTTGCTTCATTAGCAATAATTTGAGCATTAGATTGTAAAATAAGCTGTAAAACATTACCCTTTATGAGGCAAAAAACAATGACTGCTTCTGTTGGATGTTCTTTTAAAAGAAGGGAGGGCACTAACACACTAATAAGTACAAAAATTTAAAAAGTAATTCATCATTGGAACTCGCTGTTTTTCATATTTTTAATTTCAAATTTAGGTAACACTTTTTTGGATGGGCCGCTATAGGCTTTTCTTCCAGCTGACTTGCATTCTACTAATTATCTGTTACTTTTACCCTAATTTATCCAAATTCTAAATCTTGACCCAAACCTAACCTTAATACAATTAAGAATCAACTGACTTAACAGATCCAAGATGGCTATCCAAATTTTTTTTACGACAAAAGAGACACATTTTTGTTGAAAAAGTGCTTTTCAGTGCACTTTTGTTTATTCCAAAGATTATTAAAAAAAACAAGATAACATAAACACCAGCAAAACCAAAATGATGTGTTTTTTTTTTCTTTCTTTCTTTATTACAGCATTCGAACAGAATGGTAGTTGCATCTGTAAATGGCAAAAATTCATCTTCACCTCCTCAGAATTTTTTTGACTGCTATGATGAAATGTATGTTGGCAATATTCTTGCCCGCATTGCCATGTCACTCTGCTTCTTCCTGGGAACACCAGCCCATTCTTGGCTCCTCTGGCTCTCAAAACCACAGCCATTTCCAAGGACTATAAGCAGGCAGCACTGAATTTACTTCCTGTTTCCTGTATTAAACCAAAGTTCCTGTGCTGCACTTCCTATGCTGTACACTAGGGGTCGCTATTACACTGGCAGGGCCAGAACAATAACATTCCACATTTTTTCCAATATGTTAAATTCAGTAAATAAACAATGATTGTGCATTAAGGTGTGTTCTCTGTTGAATAAAGGCACTGTATTAAATTTGAATAACCTGTAATAATGACTGTATAACAAGCAGTCTTACCAGGCATCCAGCAATTCTCCAATGCAGAGCAAGTGCAGAGCCACTTTTCATGATAAATACAGCTACAGTTTCTTAAGATTTCCATAACAAAGTATAAAGACTAAATAACAAAAATGTTGCTGCTTTAAGACAGAGGTAAAACTCTTTGGTCCACTGGCCCAGAGCTGAGATCCTGAGAGCTCAGATCCTTTCTATGCTTTACAAGCTTTTATGGTCATTTTGCTCTAGGCTTTTCCAAGCTCACTGCCCCACTTTATCATTACTGGCTGAACTTGTCAGCAATTGGACACAAAAAGGACTCTTATTGGTATAGTGTGGTGTTTTTGTTCATTTGTTATCTTTATTTATGTGGTATACATTAATAAAATATTCTGTGAATTACAGCACTGTGGACACGAACATGTGTTAATTATGACAGATGTATTTTCCAAGCTCACCCAGGCTGTCCGAACATGAACCCAACCAGCTGGGATTTTGGTTAGGGAGTGGTTTTACAAGTTTAAAGAGTCAGCTCACACTCATTCCGACCAGGAGAGACATTTTGAAAGTGCCCTTATCCTACCATTGTGTAATTTGTATGCTTTGCAAAATGTTCTAGCACCTCTAGAAGCAGCACATCTCCAGAAGGAACAAGGAGACAAGAAGGCCACTCACTGCCACCTGGAGGAAGATCAGCTGATCTTAACAAGCTCCAGTAAGTAAGAGTCCTTACTAGAACCAAAGAGTGTGATCTAGTTAGCGCTGTTTCAACACTGCATTGGCCAGTTCAATTCTGCACTGATTTTAAAATACTGCTATTGACATTTAAAGCTCCTGGAATAGCCTCTCCTGCATGTTTTAGTGTTTTTCAACACACCCATTCTGCAAAGGGCTTATTAATGTAATGATTTGTTGGATAGATTTGTTAAAGCAATAAGACAAGAAATGTTGAA